TTGGTTTTTCTTTGGTGGTTTAATATTTATTCTAGATATAAATTCTTTGCTAGATTAATTTATTACAAAGATCTTTCCTTCTGTTTGGTTTGCTTTTTCTTTTGTCTTCATTATGCTGTTTGATGAATAGAAGTTTCTTGTTTTAATAGCATCAAATTTCTCTTTCTTAATATCTTTTATTGTAGGTCAAAGAGTCTTTACATGTGATCATGCAAATATTTGATGCTTTGTTTTGTTATTTTCACATTTGGAACTCTGCTCTACTACTTAGAGATAACGTATGTATAATATATAGAGATCGTTTTACAGGGATCTCTAGGCATTCTTCATTAAAAGTCCATTTTAATAGCATCAAATTTCTCTTTCTTAATATCTTTTATTGTAGGTCAAAGAGTCTTTACATGTGATCATGCAAATATTTGATGCTTTGTTTTGTTATTTTCACATTTGGAACTCTGCTCTACTACTTAGAGATAACGTATGTATAATATATAGAGATCGTTTTACAGGGATCTCTAGGCATTCTTCATTAAAAGTCCATGCTTTTCTCCATTTTTCAGGTTCATCATGCATCCATATATACATATATAGGCCTTGGGGCTCTCTTTTCTGCTCCACTGTTCTATTTGTCTATCCTTTGGAAAATACTGTATTTTATACTAGAAATTTAAATCACCATTTTCTTCAGGAAACTCTTAGCTAGTTATGGCTCTTTGCATTTCCTTATACATGTTTGAATCAACTACTACTACAGTTCCATGATAAGCCTGCCATGATTTTTATTGAGATTACTTTGACTTTATAGAAAATTTGGGCTAATGTATTTGTGCTTTTGAATCCATGAACATGTTATTTCTATATATATTTAGGTCTTACAAGTATCTTTAAATTTTTTGATATTCTCTAGGCTATCAATCTTATACATCTTATTTTAGAGTTAATAATCTTAATGCTGTTGTAAATGATGTCTGTCTTTATTTTCTTATTGATTCTGATTTATAAAAGAAATTCAGATGGCTTTTACATATTTTTTAATTCCCCAACAACCTTGTTAAACTTACATTAATTCTAATTTGTAGATACTTTTATGTTTTCTATGTACACATCATAATCTGCAAATAACAGTTCAGTGTCTTTCCTCATGATCCTTATATCTTTTATTTATTTTTCTTGTCTTACTCTGCTGGCTAGGACATCGGTACAGTGATGAATAGAAGTGATGCTAGCTGGGCATCCTAGTCTTGATGCTGATCTCAAAGTGAAATCATTCGACGTGTCACCATTAGGTATGATGTTTTCTGTAGGGTGTTATTTTTTTTATTTTTATTTTTTAGGTTTTTTTTTTTTTTTTAATCATTCAAGAAAATAAATTTCTGTTCCCATAAGAGGATTTACTTTAGTTATGAGTGGGGTTTGAATATACTCCAGAACTTTTGTACATCTAAAATAATAGGATTTTCCTTTTTCATTCTGTCAACCTGAATAAATTATGTGGGTTTAACAGACAGTCCATCAGCTTTGTACCTCCAATTACCAACCATCAAGATTAGCCCAGGGTTTTCTTTTCTAGAATGTTTTATCTTGTAGAAGAACTTACCAGGCCAGTTTATCCCCTTGAATTGTATAAACCAAACTTGATCATTTTATGTATTTTCTTCTATATGATTTGAATTGTTAGTATTTTGTTTAGGATTTTGCATCTGTATTTATGAGTAAGATGATGAAATTGTGTTTTTCTAGCACTGATCATCTGCAGCTTTGCTGTAAAGGTTGTTTTTTTTTTTTTAATGACTTGGGAAATGTAACCTCTTTGGTGGGGGCGTTGTTTTTGAGAAAGGATGACTTAACATAGTCTAGGATGGATGTCTTTGTTGAATATTCAAAAATGTTTTCTTGCTAGAAAAGCCACCTGGATCTGTGGTTTGTTTTCAATAAGCTTGAGGTTATTGATTCAGTTAAACAGTTACATGTAGTTTCAGGTTTTTGTTTTGTTACTTTTTTGGGGGGGAGGTCTTTTTGGGACAGGGTCTCCCTGTAGCCCCAGCTGTCCTGGAACTCACTATGTAGACCAGGCTGGCCTTGAACTCACAGAGATCCACCTGCCTCTGCCTCCTGAGTGCTGGGACTATGGGCGTGTGCCAGCAAACCCGTCTTTGTTTTGTTACTTTTTATGTTTT